AACCTTGCTAGCTGTCTACACTGGCCGCTTGAATTTCTGCAAGAACACTGATGATCTCATGTAAGAAATCAGTGCTTCTTGCGGAAATACTATGCTGCTCCCGTTCGGGCAAAAGTCCTTTTGCGCAAAAGGGCCAGTGTAGACAGCTCAGATTAGTTTTGTGCAAAAAAGCCCCTATTGCGAAAATGGCAATCGGGGCTCTTTTCCGCAAATGCTTTTAACGGAAAAGCTTTTCCGTTAAAAGCATTTGAGGAAAATCATGCCAATCTAGACGTAGCCAAAGTGTAAACCCATGTTTTAACATCCCTACTACTGGGCTGCAGATGCTGATTAGTGCCCCAGCACAGGCCTGCCCCACAGAGGAACGAGGGGGCTGGGCTCCACATTGTTACAGAGAAAGCATAAGAGATACTGGTCATAGCTGAATGGCTACGAGTGCTGACACCGGCCATCCATCACTCTCAGCGCCCACAGATGAGCCTATTTATAAGCATCGTTAACTAAGACTTAACACAAGGTCCCCTTGGAAAGGGACACACTGCCTCTCCCAGGCCAAGGGGGACAGGGAGGAGTTCCCCAACTCTCCCATCCCAAAGGCAGGGAAACCGCAGCCCCCTCCCTGACTCAATTCAAGCTTCAGCGACTCCCCAGGCAGCACCTGGGGCTCCCTGGCCCTCTTTAGGCAGCCTGGCACAGCACAAGCACAGGGAAGCAAGAAGTCACAAAGCTGCACCGCCCAGCATGGGCCCCTTTCTGGAAACGGGTAGCACCCTCGAGGACTAACTGCATCTCACCAACTCTACCCCAGCCTTGGGGCTAGTGAGTGGCTGCTCTCCCACCCAGTCAGGCAGAGATATCGGCAGGCAGCACGGCTCTCTGCCAACCTCTTCACCCTGGCAGCCCTCAGCAGGTAAGCTCAGAGCTCTCAGCCTCATCTGCAGCAAAGTCCTGAACACGTTCGAAGCCCACGCCCAGCTGCAGCATGACCAGGGGTGCAATGCAGGTACAGTGCTTTGAACAAGGGGACCTGGAAATAGCCTAGTGCACAAAACCATGCTAACATGTCTGCTGGGATGTGACCAGCACATCCTCCAGACACCTGCCGTGGGCCTGCTCCTCGACCGCCTGGCTCAGCTCCGTGCTGCACTGCACCCAGCCTGAGCATTTGGATAGGAAATCCCCATGAACAAGGGGGCCTGGACAGGCTGGGGGAGAGTCTATCAAGCCAGGAGGGCGGATATGTGCCAAACAGACAGCCAGGGGGCATAACCATGCTGGGCTAGCTCAAAGAAATAGCAAACTGCCCTATCACAAAATCACAGAACCATAGAGCTGGAAGAGACCTCAGAAGGTCATCAATTCCAGCTCCCTGCTCTAGGCAGGATCAATCCCAACTAACTGGCACCTAGAGGTGCCGATGGATGGTGCCTACCTATCAGAAGGTGAGGGGCAGACACTCATCCTCCCCCTGCGCTCCCTTGGCAGAGCTTGACATGCTGCTGCCTCACTAGGTGCAGGGCAATGCACTGAACTGGGCTGAGTCTTTCCTGGAGGGACGCATCCAAGGAGCAGTGCCGATGGATGGTGCCTACCTATTAGAAGGTGAGGGGCAGACACTCATCCTCCCCCTGCGCTCCCTTGGCAGAGCTTGACATGCTGCTGCCTCGCTAGGTGCAGGGCAATGCACTGAACTGGGCTGAGTCTTTCCTGGAGGGACGCATCCAAGGAGCAGTGCTGGGAATGGGCCCTCCCTGGCACTTTGCCACAAGAACCAGGTCACTCCTTCAGACCTCTCTCAACAGTCATCTGCAACCACTAGAATAGCTGGTCAGATGCTTGGGCTCCAGAACAACCAGCTTGCAGGCCTCAGCCCGCTCTGTCTGTCCTTTGCCTCATTCCACTCCCAGGGCCACTGAGATGACCCGCTGGCTGCCAGTGACCCTGAGCCAGGCTGAGGCTCTGCTGGAGGAAGAGGAATTCACGGCCAGGTCAGTCCTTGGCTGGGTTCCTCACTGAGTTTTCATGCAGCAGTCCCGGTCAGTAACACTATCAACCATCTCCATCTGACTAGGATCCCTGGCCCATCCTGTCAGATGGACTCTGCCTCAGTCTCCTCTCATGTGATTTACTGCAGTGCCACGCACCTAGCATGGAGCTGCCATTTTCTCCAGAATACTGCAGCTGGTCTCCTCAGCACCATGCCACCGCCAATCTAGCAAACCCATCTCTGCCCTTTCTGCTAGCTTCCCAAGCACAGCATGACCTGGGCTCCAGGTAGCTGAAAGGCTCTGAAGCGCTCAAAAGGCTGTGGCTACACTATGGAGGTTTTAAGTGACAAGGCCATACCAACACACAAACTTCCTGCCCCCTAAATCCTCGGGGCAACAAAGCAGCATTCCCACTTGCCACAGCCTTTGGGAATGGTGGGGGCTTAAGCACCTGTGAACAACAGAGGTTTAGCTGATCAATTGGAAGTGTGGCCAAAGCCATGGGGTGATAGCTGTGCTCCTTTGGCCCAACAGAGTCCTCAGCAACTCCAGAGCTGGAAACAGGACAATTTTAGGGGTGGGCCCAGACTGAAGTGAACAATCCCAGAAGCAGCCTCCCACTCACCTCCCTGCTCTGATACACACCTCTCAGCAGGGATGTCAAGATCCCAAATCAAAACCCAAGCACCATACAGTGCACAAACAAGCCTGGCGATGTTCCCGTTATCCTGCTCAACTCACAACGTGCAGGCATTCTGTTATCGGTGTGAGAACCTCGCTAGAACAGCTGGTTCCACTGGACCAGGAAGCAGCTGTGTCAGGCCATGTGGCTGGGCATCTTGAGACTCAACCAGGCTCAGGGTCCATGGGTATTACGTTTTTTGGCGTTTTCCCAAAGCCCCCATCCACTGTTCCCCCAGGTTCTCAGCACAATCACCCTGGCCCCTCTCCCTTACAGACAGTAAAGTGCCTGCCCCACAGCACAGCTCTTCCTACCTTTTACCTGGGCTCTCTTGTGCACGAGCAGGCCCTCAGGGTGCGGAAGGCTGTACAGGAGCACTTTGCCATCAGAAAAGGCTACCGCCAGGAGGCCCAGCCGGCTCATCTGAGGGGGCTGGAGGGACAGACGCATGCTAAGCGACCAAGCTAACCCAAAGCACAATCCCCCTCCCCTGCAAATCACACCAGGCGGCTGCAGCATGATTCCACTCTGTGCCTGGGGTGGGCACAATTTGGAGTCATCGCTCTGAGCTGCTTGTCACAGCAAGTCACTGAGAAAGACTGCCCAGGCTGGAGAGTTAAGAGGGCAGAGCAACTCCACAGTCCCAGGCTGCACCCCAGGATCCCATCACACCCAGCTCCCCCATGCTTGGCCACACTCCTACCTTCCTACAGGTGCTGGGCAGCTCCCAGGCCCCACTGGGGCAGAACTTCATGTCCCAGATGCAGCCGTGATCGGTGGCGATGGCGTAGGCCAGCCTGGCTTTGGTGGCAGAGCTGCAGGCACAGGCGAGATAGGAGGGGCCTGGCTGATGGGTGTCCAGAGCCCCCCCTCTGCCAGCACAGGGCAGAGGGACATGGCTCTAGCATGGTCTCCTGGGCACATGGAGCAGGCAGGAGTAGCTGATGGCTCTGCCACCCAGACCCTCCAGCCTGGACCAAGAGATTAAGTCATGTCCTCCCCAGTAGAACAGCTCCTGGACCATGGTTTCCCACAGTGCTTGGCCTTGGTTTCTCTAGCCCCTCTGCCCAGGAGTGGGCCACCACAGTGAAGTGAACAATAGCCTGTGCATGGCATGGCCATTTGCAGCAGAGGGGGGGGAGGGGGTGTG